CAACCACATTTATTATCTCAGTCCTTTCTTGCCTGTATTTTCTTATGAAATGGCTTTTCTAGCCACAATTACAAATTACTTCTTCAATAAATTTCTAAGAATTTGAGCTACTTTTATGGAGTTATTCAAATATTCCTTTATATTCTTGATAACATTTGAAGGAATATGTGTCTCTTGTCTTCCTTTCAATCATTAAAGGATCATGATATAATAAGATCCCTACTAAAGCTCCAAAAAAAAATCAATTCGTTAATATGAAGATACTGGACACCCAACCTTAAAAAACCTGAGTCCAGATTTTAGGAAGAGTTTGAGGCATAAATAAGTTCTTTGTAGATGATGCAGTACGGTCCACAAAATAAGCATACCTGTGCTCAAGCAAACCTCACATCCCAGAAATCAAGATCTTTTTAAAAAGGAGGAGGTGATGGTGGTGGTGGTTTTCAATAGCACATTTACAACACTTTATAGCAATTTCAGTTGCACTACTACCTGCAAGAGGACACTACACTCCTATCGATGCAACCCAGAATTGCATTGGACCTTTTGGCCACCATTTCACACTACTGACCCAGAATAAGAGTTGGTTAAATCAAGTGCAATTTCTCAGGTGAAACAATTTTAAAATAATCTTGTTACTGTTTTGCTTTTGGAGAAAGGGGAAGATTTGACACATGTTTTATTTGCAGTTTTTATGGTTACCCAAATAAAAACTTAACAGCTATTTGACATGCAGGAAGGAGGACCAATGCAAAATCTTGTATTGTTTGGAAACTGTCCCATGCAAGGAATACAAGTAATATAAGCCAAGGCTAGGGGTGTAAATATGAGGATTAATAATATTTTCTCTACCACTATCACCCTTCAGAGGGGAAAACAAATACTGTTGTACTGTTCTCACTTAGTATTTGTCCATCCCAAGGATTACCCTGTGCAGGAATACAGGAAAAGGGTGGGTTTTTGCATAAAAAATCATAGGTTTTGTGCAAAAAAGCACATAATTTTCACATGTTAAAAATCTGTTATGCAAAATAATTTTTGAAACAGACATATCTCCCCACTCAATAGGCAAATTCTGTTTACTGTGTTATTCTTCCCAACCAATTTCCCCAAGTGTTGAGGAATCTCTTTTTCTGCCACAAAAGGAGTAATGTAACAGTAAATATTATTTCCCTCCCTGAACAGGACAGAATGCATGCACAAGTAGAAGGATTCAGTCTAGCCCATGGGGCTTGGGGTAGCAGCTGCCTGCATGCAGAGAGCCAGAATCAGTAAATTTAATTCAAATTAGCCACTTCTACAAGTAATGGACTTCCTCAAAGTGGATTCCACTCAAAATAGTCTGATTATATGATGTGTAATGTGACATTTAGAGAAAAGCCATACCTTGGTAAGTAATATATGCCTTGAATACAGAAGATATGTTTAAATAATATGTTCGAAATAATATGTTTGAAATAATATATTCGAAAAAAAGGTGAAAACCTGGATTTTTGAGCAGGCCTTCCCAAACATGGCATAGCTAAAAGGAATTATGGAATTACTTGATAACGCAATGGAATAACGATTTGACATGAAGACGCTCACGATAATGTTTTAAGGCTTTGTATGGTTTTTATATTTTTATATCGTATGCTATTGTTTTTTTACAGAATTTCTTGATTGTTTTTACTTGTTATAATTGTTGAAGCATCAAATTGTTGCCAATTTATGAAACGTTCCGAGTCACCTCTGGGCTGAGATGGGTGGTATATAAATATAGTAAATAAATATAGTAAATAAATAAATATAGTAAATAAATAATGAATCTATCCCTGTGAGGGAGAGCCAGCATGGTGTAGGGATTTCAATGCTGAACAGGAATTCTGGAAGACCAGGGTTTAAATTCTCACTTGGCCATGGAAACCCACTTTGAGAAGTCACACTCCCTCAGCCTCAGAGGCAGGTGATGACACACATCACTGAACAAGATTTGCCAAGAATTACCTATGATAGGTTCACCTTAGCATCATCATGAACCAGGCATGGCTTGAAGACATACAAAAATCTGTGCTGAGATAGAAGATGCTTGAGAGATTACAAATATATGCAATAAATAAATGTAAAATAAAAAATAACAAGCACTAGTCCTAGTAATTTCCATACACGTCTTAACAAAAGACTTCTATGCGGAAACCTGAAGACTTGCTGTCAGAGAGTATTACATCAAAATTACAGAGTGTGTAATGTGGACACTAGTTCTCAATATTTGGTCTTACAGATGTTTGGGACTTCGGTTCCCAGAAGCCCCAGGCAACCTGGCCAGTGGTGATGTATTTTTGAATTTGAAGTCCAAAATATTGAGGGAAGGCAATGGGTGAAGCCAACACTGAGAGCAGTGGTTTGACATAACATAAGACATCTTCCTATGTTGCTAAACCTAATAGGAAAATTACGATGTACACCAATTAGATAGCAAACAAGTAAAACCAAAACAGATATAACTGAAACAGCACAAAGCATCAAGTGAAAATAATCCTGCCCCATTCCTCACAGCTCATTCCTGTGGAACACACACTACAAAAGCATCTTTGTATCTGGCTGAAATGTGTGTACCTCCAAATGCTGGCAGCAACCACAGAATTAATTCAGCCCAGACCAAAATCAATTTAACTCAAAAGAAGGAAAACAGGCCAAAGGATCAGAGTCTGAAATTCTAGACCACTTTGGCATAACAAGAGTAGGGTTCTTCTAAATTACATGTACAAGCCTCTGCTTTTAATCATGAGTACGTGTTAGCAAGGGAAAAGCAACACAAACAAAGCACACCTGCTAGCATGTTAACTGTAATAGATAGGCTGCTCTACTTGCAGAAACATCACACTTTTAAAGCCCTACAGCAAATGACATTCAGTTATGGTTAATCAAATTTCCATGTTCTTATATGAGTGAAGGAAAAATTCCTCACTGCTTGTTGGTTTTACTACCCAAGGAAGAAAAATGAAAATCTGATATGAAGCCATCAGGATATTGAAAAGAAGGAACAGCTTAGGTAACCCCTATTCTCTCTCTCTCTCTCTCTCTCTCTGTCTCAATCTCACAGACACCTACACACAGGATCAGGAGATAGGCAAACACCCATCTGACCCTGATCCTGATCCTGCATTTTGCTGTGCCAAAGCACAGGCAAGATATAGCTTGCAATAGAAGAATTTATTCTATGGGGTATTCTGAAAAATTACTTATTGCATTATAACTCTCAAAATCCATGGCAACACAAGTTGAGGAAGGCAGAAAGCTACAGTTTAAAAAATCACTTGCCCAGACTTCGATTTTAGATTCATCATCCAATTGCAGCTTTCAGAAATCTTATCAGTAGCAGCAATACAACTGCCCTATATTTAAACAGGTGGGTTCCTCATGATTTCCTATCCTATTCTATAAAGTCAGAGAACCAGTGTAGTTTAGCGGTTTGACTGTTGGACTCAGGGCCCTTCCACACAATCATATAACCCAAAATATCAAGGCAGATAATCCACAATATCTGCTTTGAGCTGGGTTATCTGAGTCCACACTGCCATACAATGCAGCTCAAAACAGATAATGTGGGATTTTATACAGTTGTGTGAAAGTGGCCTAGGACTCTGGGAGGCCAGGATTTGAATCTCTATTTGAGCATGGAAATCCACTGGTCTGTCTTGGGCAAGGCCCATTCTCTCAGAATCAGAAGTGGGCAATGGTAACCCCCCTCTTAACAAAGCTTGACAAGAAAGCCCTGTGATGAGTTTACTTTAGGATCATCAGAAGTTGTAAGACCTGAAGGCACACAACAATAACTATAAAGTTAAAAGTGGTTGCGATTTCTGCCATTCTGAACATAAGCAGGAATTAATTTGTTGAACACATTAAACCTATATAAACAGATTCAGATTTCCTAAAAAACAGGAGAAAAACATTTTTGGACACTGAGAGTTCTATATTTCATCAGTGGAACCATTCTGCATCCTAGAATTTGTGGGATTTTAAGCTTGTTGACATCCCCTCAGTTTCACAGTGAGATGCTACTTTTGACACAAAAAAAGTAACAAAAATTGAGGTTTTTTTACTTCAAATATAAGAGGATGGCTTTTGAGTATCATCAGGACATCAGGAGTATCAGAATCCAGACTGTAGGTTGGTTCTTCAAAACAGCACTTAGTAAAGGAGACTTTCCCAGCACTATGATCATAAAAGTAATGCCATGTTATCTTCAGCTCTGTTTTTTTTAAAAAAAAAAACTGTCCTTGCAATCCACATATCATACAACTACAGCAGGCCACTTTTCCTGCTCTGATTTTCAGGCCAGGTTTAAAACCAGAAAAATAATTTTAGTACATAATTAGTATTTAAAATGTGGGAATACATTTTACATTTACATATGAAATGTTCATATATAGCATAAATTAATATGAGAGCCCCGTGTGGCGCAGTGGGTTAAACTGCTGAGCTGCTGAACTTGCTTATTGAAAGATTGCAGGTTTGAATCCGGGGAGCGGTGTGAGCTCCTGCTGTTAGCCCCGGTTTTTGCCAACCTAGCAGTTCAAAACCATGCAAATGTGAATGGATCAATAGGTACCGCTCTGGTGGGAAGGTAATGGCGCTCCACGCAGTCATGCCGGCCACATGACCTTGGAGGTGTCTACAGACAATGCCGGCTCTTCAGCTTAGAAATGGAGATGAGCACCAACCCCCAGAGTTGGACACGACTAAACTTAATGTTAGTGGAAAACCTTTACCTTTACTTTAATATGAGATCGAAAGAAAACCAGGCAAGTGCAAACACTCAGTCCCAGAGAATAGATTTCCAGTGCTGTAACATTTGTATTTTTCAGCCATAAGACATGCTCTTCTTTTATTTCCAAATGCAGACCATACAGTGTTCATTTCAGATGAAAATCCTGACTGCTTTGAGGTACTGAAGCTCATAAATGTCAAAGCTATTATTGCCAGCAGAGTTGAGATTAATTACTTTTGTCACGTACCCATACCACTAGGATGAATTCCCCTCTTGAAGTCTCCTTCAAACCAACAATGAAAGCGTGGGGGGACCCATATCCCTTGTAGTAGTAGCACGGAATGCTTCGGTTCAGAAGAGACATAGGGTAGAAAGTAGAATGCCAACAGTAAAGGGAGATGTTGCCCTAGAATTTCAATAATGCAAAAGAATCATGCACACTTGTTACACCTGTGTTTCAAAATCATTTCCCTGTTGTCTTCTTTTAAAGCAGTGTAGGAACAATTTAAACAAATCACAGATATATGGGAGGCAGCCTAGGATTTTCCCTTGAAACTAACTGTGAGTCATTTGTATCACTCTGAACTCTGTTGTGTGACAAATGAAGCTAATGTGAGTGAAAGCCCTTGGCCAATGAAGTAACTGAAGTGTGAACACCTTTTGCAAGAGCTAGCTCTCTTTCCCCCCTCCACCTCTTTAGCAGAAGGGGAGGGAAGAGCAACCATCCATAGATCGACCTCACACTTATTCTGAAGTTGAATGAAACTGTGCCAGTAAAAATAATAACAATAAAGAAATGATCGTTCAGGAAGAGTTCATTGTTCATGATATCTGGCGGTGTGAGAGCTCCTTTCCAATACAGTGTGTGTGTATATGTGTGTGTTTGAGATGGGGGTGGAGATAGGGAATTTGGTCAAGAAAATAGCCCAGGATGCCACACTGTTCTGCATCAGATTAAGAATCCAGGTGAGAATATGATGCTCAAGGACTGGAATGCACCATATAGGCACATTTGATCTTTCTAATCCTGCAACAGGGGCCCCTGGTGGCAAAGCAGGTTAAACCGCTGTGCTGCTGAAAATGCTGACCAAAGGGTTGGCGGCTGGAATCCAGGGAGTGGGGTGAACTCCTGCTGTTAGGCCCAGCTTCTGCCAACCTAGCAGTTTGAAAACATGCAAGTGTGAGTAGATCAATAGATACTGCTTCTGCGGGAAGGTAATGGCACTCCATGCAGTCATGCTGGCTACATGAGCTAGGAAATGTCTACGGACAACACCGGCTCTTTGGTTTAGAAATGGAGATGAGCACCACCACCCAGAGTCAGACACGACTAGGCTTAATGTCAGGGGAAACCTTTACCTTCACTTTAATCATGCAACAAGAATATGCCCTTTTGCCATTTTCACACTTGCACATCAAAGTAGTAAAAATTTTAAAATATAAACAGTGAGTAGATCTGTGAAATGCTAAATACTCACTAGGGCACTCACTACCCGCTACACCACAAATGTATTTATTTATTTAATTAATTATTTTGGTTGCTTCTACCCCGCCCTTCTCACCCCGAAGGGGACTCAGGGTGGCTTACAAAAGCAAGGCACATATCGATGCCCGCATCACATAACAGCAATAAAACAAATAACATCAATTAACAATTAAACAACAATTCTTGCATTATAACCATAAAACCAATAAAACCAATACAAAACAATTTCTCCTCATTGACGGTCAGCGTTTGCTATCTCATAGTTCAATTTCCAATTCCACAATTGTCAGTCCTGTCAGTCCTATTCGTCTGGTTGTCCTTATCTAGTTGTCAGATTGCCCAAAGGCCTGGTCCCACAACCACGTCTTTACCTTCCTCCTGAAGGAGAGGAGGGATGTTGATGCCCTAATTTCCCCCGGGAGTGAGTTCCACAGGTGAGGGACCACCACCGAGAAGGCCCTGCTCCTCGTCCCCACCAACCTTACTTGTGATAGCGGTGGGGTCGAGAGCAGCCCCCCCCAGATGATCTCAAATTTCAGGGTGGGATGTAGAGGGAGATACGTTCGGACAGATACACTGGATCGGAACCGTACAGGGTTTTGTAGGTCAAAACCAGCACCTTGAATTGTGCTCCGAACTGAACCGGCAGCCAGTGGAGCTGACACAGCAGGGGGGGGGGGTGCTCCCTGTATGTTGCTCCGGTGAGCAATCTGGCTGCCGCTCGCTGGACCAGTTGAAGTTTCTGAACAGTCTTCAAGGGTAGAGTGAGTTGCAGTAGTCTTTCAGGATGAAACAAGAGCGTGGACCACTGTGGCCAGATCAGACTTCCCAAGGTACGGGTGCAACTGTGCACAAGTTTTAGTTATTTATAAAAGACACACATTTATCTAATGCTGCTTCAGTAATATTTGTGTGGGGTTTTTTTTTAGTAAACGTGAACATTTATGACATTTTTAGATAAGTGTTTTAGGGATAACCAATTTCGTTCACATTTCTCCTGTTACATTTCCCCAACAATTTCCTCTCATACATGGTTCTTTATATTCAATCACCAAAAATGGCCCCTTTACACAATAATTCCTTCATATATTCATTTTTATCATTAATATTCCAAAATGCATTATTTTCTGGGTGCATTTATTTTATAAAAACAATGAAGCACAAAAGTATTCAGAAGTGAGAAAACAAAAGGATACATGTATTCTATTTCATGAATTATTTAGCAAGTGCATATTAGATTAGTTAACATTAAAATATGAATCAAACAAATTTCTCACAAATCCCAAGAAAGGGTCTAGGGAGAAAGGAACTATAGAAAAGACAGAACACACAGTGAGAATGATTTAATTTGAAAATTTAAAATGCTTTTTAATTAACTGATATTCAGTTATACTAAGTATTTCTAGGAAGCAACCAAAAATGCCACAAGGCACAAGAAGAGCCTCAAATAAATCACAGAAAACTGAATAGGCACCACATTCCAGAGACTGCTAATGTTTCAACTTGACATAAACATTTGCAATCACATTGGTTTCTGCTAATATTGAGCAGATGGATCTGCAACCCCACACTTTATTTAACTGATCAATTTGCTCAGGTAACAAAACAAACCCCATTTCAAGTGGTTAGTCTGGATTCATGGAAATCCTGATTCTTACAAACTTCTTCTGGCATATAATTTATTTTAAAGCATCAGAGTGTTGGGGAGAGGCAAGAGTAGATGGCGGGACAATAGACAAGAAGCTATTTCAAAATAAATGAGATTAATTGAAAGTGAGTTAATATAGTATGATAAGGAAAGGATGTATTAATGCCAAGTAATTTAATAGGTCATACGATGAGGAAATAAAGCGCTGAGCCTACTACAGCATTAAGTGAGGTAAGTTAAATAGAATCTGACACTAATGCAATTGAGCTGCCACAATCTCAAGAGAACGGGGGAAAGCAACCATCATTATTTTAAAAATAATGGTTCTGGAAGAATTAGATTGTTCTGCTTAAAAGGAAGCTGAAACAAAAATGGCTAGAATACTGCTTAGGAAGAAAAAAAGGCTAGCTAAATAGAAAAAATACAAAAAAAAGTAATAAAGAGCACACCCAAAAGCTGGTGTGGAACTATTTTACAAAGATCACGGGTGAGTTCTGAATGGTAGCATAAAAGCCTCCTACTCAATGTACATTGAACCAAAGCTTGAAAAGATTACTCTCCTTTAAGGAGAAAGACAGGATATAAATGCAATAAATAGATAAATAAATAAATCCCAGATCCTACAGCCAATATGGCTACTGGTGAAATCATACTAGCTGATTCCAGAAACCACAGCTCAAAAATTAGTTCCCAAGCCATGGACTGGATCCCTTAACAGGAGCACTCCTATTAAAAAGGGGAAAAAAATCCCTCGACATTACGTCTAGTCACGTCCAACTCTCCATTTCTAAGCCAAAGAGCCAAGGTCATGTGGTCACCATGAATGCATGGAGAGTTGTTACCTTCCCTACTGATCTACTCACATTTGCATGTTTTTGAACTGCTAGGCTGGCAGAAGCTGGGCCTAACAGTGGGAGCTCACCATGTTCCCCAGATTCGAACCACCAACCTTTCAGTCAGCAAGTTCAGCAGCTCAGCGGTTGAACCTGCTGCACCACAAGGAGGCCCTCCTGTTAGGATGCAATAAAATGCAAGGTGTGACTGAAAGTTCCCACTTATATCATCTTTTTAATGTTGCACCAACATGAATTTCAAGGGCTAGAGCATATTCTGTTCAACAACTTTGTTTCAAAAAAGCTAACTTTATCCAAATATCAAGGGATTTAGAAACTGGGGGAAATCTACATTTTACCAAGTTTCACAAAACCCCAAACCTGAAAAATATCCTAGTTACTGACCTTCCTCCTACTGCATGGCATTTAATGATAGGAAAGAATACAAAAAGAAATCATGTCAGATTATTTAATAACAAAGCACATCACCTGTTATCTCTCCCGTCCTTTGTATTTATCCAGCACAATTCCATAAGGCATAAAACCATTTCCTCTAATATATATGCTTACTAGAAGAATCTAGAATTGATTTCATGAATTACTTCAAATGCAATTGTGACAGGACACATAATTTCTGAAGGGAGACAGAGATCCAGTCCCATATAGAAATGACAAGAAAGAGACAGAAGTTAACAAATAACAGGGTGGGCAGGAAAAGGTTTGGTTATCTGGAAAGTTATTGTTGTGACAAAATAGTAGCTGACTTAAGAACAGTAAGATAGATAGATAGATAGATAGATAGATAGATAGATAGATAGATAGATACACACACACACACACACCATGCCCATTGATGGTTTCATGTGTGGTGATGAGTTCCAGAAGGAGTAAGAGAAGAGCAATGGTAGGTTCATGAATTTCTGGTCAAGGCCTCTAACTGACTGCTACAATGGTTCAGTAGTTTGTGGAGTCTGCTTAAGGTCTCTCAGTAATGGACATGCAAACCTTTAAGACTTAAGATTCAATACATACATTAAGCCCATCATTTCTGATATATACAAATATGGGTCTTTCAACACAGAACAATGTAAGCCTTGGATTTTTTGTTTTGTTTGTTAAGGACTGTTAGAATATTCTGTATGAGTGAAAATACATCTTCAATTTTCTAGTGGAGTAAAAAGTGATGTTCTTGGAGTAATACAAGTCTCCAAATATTTATAGAAGCCCTGTATGTGGCTGGCAGGTGAAGCCTAAGGTGCGGGTGGGTACTTGAAGGCCCCTGTGAAGGAAGCCAGACTTGGTCGGGACTGGCTGGCTTCACTGGCTCCTCATCACATGACAAGGATGGGTCTGCAGGCTATTGAAAGGCAATCTGCACCTCCGATAGCCTTCCATCATTTGTCTTGAGCTCAAATACTTTTTCATAAAGCCATAATTCT